CCAAACACTCTTTTCTGGGCTCCCCGGTTATACCCTCGCTCCTGCGTTCGCTGGGCCGCCTGTATGTTCTCTTGAGCCAAGGCCCCCACCTGCGTGAGTCTCTCCTGAAGTCGGAGTACTTATTGCAGGAGCCCGACCGAGAAGGAGGGGGCCCGTTCCCAGGTCTCTCTGACCAGATCCAGGACGCCACGAGGTCATCTGCCGTACAGGCGCTCGAAAGGGGAAAATGGCATGGAGGCCTGTGGCACCTCCCGCACCGCCATCAAGAGCAGAGGGATGAGCTGGTCCCAGTGCTTCATGTCCGCCGGTGGAAACCTTCTCAGCATCCCCTTTAGGGTGCGGTTAAACCGCTCTACCAGCCTGTCGGTTTGGGGGTGGTAGACGGAAGTCTGTAGCTTGTGAATGCCCAGAATGTCGCAGACCTGATGCAGCAACTGGGATGTAAAGTTCGTTCCTTGGTCTGTCAGTAGTTCCCGAGGTAGCCCCACCCAGGCAAAAATCCGAACCAACTCGTTCGCGATCATGCGGGCATGGGTGTTTCGAAGGGGGATGGCCTCGGGGAACCGGGTGGCGTAGTCCATGATTGTTAGGATATATCGAAATCCAGCCGCGCTCCGCGGAAAGGGCCCCACTATGTCCAAGGCAATCCTTTCGAAGGGGGTCCCCACCACGGGCAAAGGGACGAGGGGGGCCTTCGGCACCCTGGGGGCTGCGGCGAGCTGGCAGGCTGGACATGACTGGCAGTAGTCTTTGACCTCTTTATACACCCCGGGCCAGAAGAAGTGGGACAGGACTCGGGCCAGGGTCTTCTCATGCCCGAGGTGCCCGGCGGCGGGAATGTCGTGCGCCAACCTCAGCACGGCTCGTCAATGGGCCCAGGGTACCAATAATTGGGCCTCTTCTTCCTGCGTCTGCGGGTTCCGCCGACCCGGTAGAGCCGGTCGGCTCGTAACTCAAACCGGGGCCAGTGTGCTGCCCTCTGCGGATCCACCACCGTCCCGTCGACACAGGCGAGCTGGACATAGGCCTCCCGCAGGGTGGGATCATCCCACTGGTCGCGGGGAAAATCCACCGAGTCCAGGGCAATCGGCACGTCCTCCGGGTCTGAGGGCCCCGGGTCGGTCAGATCAGGTGCGTTGCGCTCGGCGGGTCCCTCCCTGTCGAGTGACCCCTGCGGTCAGACAGCCTGGGGTTCCTCCCTCAGGAGTTCCACGTGGGGCTCGGTCGGCGCTGGTAGGTCTTTAATGAGGCCAATCGCGACCCAGCACCATGGGGTATGGCAGGTGCGCCACCACGCCCACTAGCATCATTTGGGTGACTCCGCACACCGTCAAGGGGAGTCGGACCTGAGGATAGGTCTTCACATCCCCATGGACGCACCGCAGCTGCAGCTCCCCCTTGGGCGCCGCAGTGTC